AGTAGAATGGCCTAACGGGTGAACTTCGTTCGGAATCAACCTTCCCTCGTCCGAGAGTAATCGACCACGAAGTCCAGAAGCGTAGTAATTGAACAGTAGTACCGAGAAATGGAACGGAAAAACGACCAGGTAGAAATGAAAGCAGAAAGTAATGCGTTGGACAGATACTCACCTTGTGAGCCTGTCAAATAGGCCTTGAATTTTCAATTTCTACTGGCTTCTCCGGTAACTTCCAATGGCGTCCACTAGCCAATCAAACAATAGGAGTGTGATGGCTGCTTCCAATTATTCACAGGCCATCAAAGGTAGTTATGGCTATTCTTATTGTAGTAGCGAACCTTCCAGTATGGCGATAGTCCTTTTATGACGATACTGACGATACTGACGCCCCGTCGCTTCCTTGGAACGCGATCCTGGCCACGGCACCAATGTTGTGACCTTACCGTGTGCGTTCCAACCACGAACTTCGCAAATATGGAATTCCTTTCTGTACAGCTGATTTTCTACTTGTGCTTAAGTTCCTCCTTTTAGTTTCAAGCACACCGGCGACAATGATGAGTATAAAAATCACTTCCGTTTTTTCTTTAAACTACACTTTATTAACTATAAAACAACTTTATTAGATTGCTACTACAAAAATCACTACACTACGTTCTTTATTAAGTTTTACTTTAGTCGATCTTATTCTTACGAAGGTTGAAATTGAAGTGAAGTATAAATTATTTCTCTCTTACATCTAGGTTCACAGACAACATAAAACATAAAATAAAAATAGCCAATACTTATGAGCCTCACTGTTGATGATGGCTCACATCTCGTTTCGAATCTACTTGTCATTCGAGTCGACCTATTTTCTTTTCTCTTCTCTCTTATCTCCGATTCTACTAGAACTGTCAACATGCCCATAGAGGAAACTGGGTAACGGTTACTTAGATTATGACATTTTTCAACTGAGTAAACCTTACCCATTTCGGTAGAATCAAATTAATGCCCCATGAATGCTTTATATAGGGGAAATGTCGACTTCGGCAATATCTTATTTATTTATTTATTGACGTGTATTTTGTAACTTAAGACTTATGTCTTTCTTCTGTTACATCAATTATATCAAAGTATAACAAGCGCCACAAGTATATTACAAAACCAAAAAAAAAATAATTGATGCGTAACACAAACTGAACTACATTTACTACTCAACTAAAATGCTCAATACATCCTCTCTTAAATGTTGTTAACGAATTTACATTAGTTAGACTATTGGGTAAAGAATTCCAGTGAACTACACCTCGCACGAAAAATGAGTTCCCGTACTTTGACGTGCGATGTCTTGGTAAAATATATATAATGGACCGATTGCTTTGTGAAGTTTGCAATTTTTTATGTAGATAACCGGGTTGTTTTGTTCTCGACAGACTATGCAAAAATAAACAACAGCATAGCTTGCCAAATTTTACCAAAGGGCATCCTATTAGATGATGTTGCAGGTGAGAAACTCTAGAATATCTACTTAATTTAAAAACACCAACGAAGTGACAGACGACTAACTGGCGAAGAAATCCATTAAAATAATGTGGTTCACTGTAATAGAATTTTCTTAGAAGCTTGTGCCATCATCCACCAGATGGGATAGTATTTTTGTTTTGGTTTTGCACAAAGTTGATTTTGTGTACAATGATTCTTTGACAGTGTGCAAAGAGTGCGTATCAGTTTGTCATTTTTTATGCATTTCAGTTTTGAGTAGAGTGAAAGAGATAGAACCAAAACATTCTAGTACATTTGGTGAAAATGCTAGTTCAATCCAGTAGTAGCAGGGGGTGGAAACTAACGATTTTAAATTGATTCACTGCTTGAGTAGCCTATTGGTCCCTAGTGCTTATATGGCGTACCCCATTCTAGTTGAAATTCTATTACTACACTATGTTTGTTTTGATTCGCTTTATGAAAGTTTGACAGATAACATCAGGGGTGTGTGGATTCATGCAGAACATGCAGGGGTGAGTGAAATAGCTTGGGACTGCTTGAGACTCTTGGCTTGGGACCGTTGTTCTGGTACTAAGTGAGCCAAAAATAATAATGATTTTCTTCGGGACCCAGTGGTCTTAGAGTTACCTCTATGGTAGTAGCACAGACAAACAGACATAACACTCGCAAGTTGTTCATCGAACAAGCATTTAACGGTCAATTTAAAAGTATCATAGTTGGTAGTACCGCAACCTGTGGCGCGCATAGTCAATGCCCTTGCGTTTGACGTTTACACACTACCGCCATCTGTTCAGCGTCACCACAGTGTACTCAACAGATGGCGGTAATGTTTTAGCGACGATGTTTTACAGTGAGAAATATTCAATGTGTTATGTCTGTTTGTCTGTGGTAGTAGTGTTGCCATGTGGTACAATCCAGTAGTAGTGGTGTTGCCATGTGGTACACTGAAAAATTGCAATAGCAGGTTAGTCACCAAAGTTTTCGAGCCGCTCCGTCTGTCACTTCGTTTGTGCCTTAAGTTTATTGAACGTACCAGCAGATACATCATCGAGGAGAAAATCACATGCCAAAAAATAAAGAAGAAGGAGGCTTTTGAATAGTTTAATTTTAACATCAGTTCTAAGAAATGATGATGTTATGTGAAGAGAACGTAAACCAGCATAAATTTTTCCGCATTGTGACAACACATATTCATCCCATCCAAAATTGGAATGAATACGGATACCCAAGTTAGTAGCATTATCGACGTATTCAATTGTTTCATTGTCTAAAAGCAATGAAGGTTTTTATATATTTTGAAAAGAACTATTTGTAATAAAAATTGCGTTTGTTTTCTTGGAGTTCAAGCTAAGCATATTCTTTACAGACCAATCTAGGATCCTCTTCAAGTCTTCATTAATTTTCTGAGAAATTTCAGCATCAGAATTACTTGCACAGTCAAAGTGGTATACCTGAGCATCATCGAGAAACAGAGCCACTTGAGAGTAACTCTTCTGGTCTTAGAGTTACCTCTATGGTATTATCGTCAGGGGGTAAACAATGTCCTTGAGAGCTCAATTTTGGCATTCAGAGCATCTATTGGCCAAATTTGAGTGCTCTAGAACTTGTTTACCCCCTGACGATAATAGGTTAAGGTATTGCCGAAGCCGACATTTCCCCTATAAATTGTTTCGACGAGCAAGAATATTAAAAAATTAAAACATTATGAAAATGATAATTCTGTATTTATTGATACCAACGAACTATGCAGGCTATTATGTTGCTATTACGTAGCTGCTCAATTTTTACTGCTTCACTTCTAAAAACTAATTTTAAACTCACTTCGCAAAAATTGCCTGTTTACAACTTCCAAGTGCTCCATTTTGAACTTAGGAAAACAATATATTGGAACCATTTACCCAGAATCTGGGTAGATCCCACTCATCGAATTAAAACCAGTTTACTCATTTTTTGACAACTCCATATACAGCATGCAAAAATGAGTGCGATCCACAGTCACTGAGTAGCCTCAATATAGCGTGGAAGAGTGGGAAGAGTGCATGCACAGCAAAAAAAGTTGTTGAATATTACATCGAAACTGCTGCAACCAGGTCAATCCATCGGTTGTGTAATATCACATTGTACGATGTACATCGATTTTGTGAACAAAATTACATCCATTGATGTAACATTGTATCTGCTTTTTGCTATTACATCATTATTTCATACATCAGCTTGAATTACGTTGATCGATATTACATTTTTTTTACTGTGTGTGGAATGCAAAATCCATTTCAACCCAGATTTCAACTACCGTTTTGAACTGGCATCCCCAATTCCCCACCCTATCCGTTGAACGAAACTTCGCGACCATCTTGCACAACAAACGGCCAACGGGCGCTGCTCTGAGTTTTGACAGCTCGGGCCCGTTTATGCTTTTCTTCGTGTTTGTGTTCGCGATCGTTAATGCTTGGCGCTCGTGTGGTTGTATTCGCAAGCTTCGCAAGATCACTGTGTTCAGTTTATGTTTAGCCGTGGTCGAGTCTGGTTGTGTGCCGTATAACGTGCATATCATTCTGCTGTCTGAGTTGTTTCTCCAAAATCACTCTGTAAAAATTTCCTGTTCTCATCGTTGTACTGTGCTGATCATTTTCTGCTTATGTTCGACGTTTCCTTCTCAAACCGAGGATTACAGCCGTGACAAAATCAATCAGCAGTTGTTCGGTGAAATAGTGAATGAAATCGTGATTCCGAAAATTCCACGTGAAAAGTGTGCTGCTTGGCGGAAGATTTCTAGACTAACATTTGAAAAGGGCGTAATTCCAAAATGACCATATCGAGAAAATCGCTTCTGAATTTTGATGACCTAAAAATTAATCCTATTTCACGACTTTCCATTTTCTGGATGATTTTATAAGCTTGACATATAGTTAATATTGTAATCTATCATCATGCATCACTAAAAACTCAAAAAAAGTTTTATTTGTCGTGAAATCGAGAAGAAAACATCATACGCCCTGATAATTTCATACATGTTGTTACCCCCCGGATCATCCACCCTTTGAACTGCCAACACTGGTGATACGCCGTGGAAGTACACCCTCGGGATTTTTCGTTTGTTGTTACGCCTTGGTTCTTCGTTCGCAAATTTTGTGAGAGTGGAATTACGCCCGGAGATTTTTTGGTCTTCTTTTTGTTCGTTGTTTACACGTGAACTATCAATCGGATGCATTTCAAATGAATCGGGCGTGACTAGATACTACAGACTCAATACGTTTGGCATATTAAAACGATATAATTCGTAGTTCTGGTGCAAGGCGTAACAACCAGATGCATCATAGAGTTAAAAGTTGGAAATACGCCATGTAAGAAGAAACGTTTTTGATGATTTGAAGTGATATTTTCTTCTACATTTTCGTGTTTATCGAGTAGTTTGTGAACTATTCTCTCTATATGTGGCAAAATATGGTTTGTTTACATTTTGGCTCTTACGCCCCTTTCAAATGTTAGTCTAGATTTATAGAGTGCTCTTTTTTTTTTTGTTTATCCCAGCTAAATTCCCCCCCGCTGAAAGCCGAGTGCGAAGAGTGAAGAGGTGAAGGTTTCTAATTTGCCTACTTACCTATCATTTTCGGTAGTGTGGTGCTGCGGAAAGGCAAAAATCGAAAAGAAAAGAGTGAGCGAGTGAGCCTCCCGCGAAGAAAAGAAAGAAAGCAGTGTTTTTGGTGAGAAATTTCCGAGTGTGCCAAACGTGTTTTGTGTGACACAAATTCCGCGAATCTTCTTCCAACGTTTCGCAGCAGTAGTAGCGGGGTAGGTTGTGAGAGGGGCCCGCCCGGATTGTTGCTCAATTAAGCGGCTGAAATTGCGGAAAAAGTGTGTGCTGCAGCAGTAGTAGAAGCCTTCGACGAGAAAAACCTCCCGTTTGTCTCGGAGAGTGCGAGGGAAGAAGCGAGTGATTCAGGGAAATTGATAATTTGTAGCAAATTAAAATACGAGAAGAGTGTTTTTCTGGGTGCTGACGAAGACGAGAACCAACAACGACGACCGCGTCGGTGGGGGAATAGAAATCACCACAACAACACACACCCGACGACACAGACGACGGGACGGACGTCGCGCACCCAGGAGAAGAGCGGCAGCAAAAAAGATAACAAAAATGGCTTCCATTCGACGCGGCGGTGGCGGCGGCGTGAAGACCCTGTCGGTGGAGGAACGAGCCGAGATGAGGGAAAAATTTGAAGAAGTGAGTACCTAATACCATCCAAATCTATCCTACATTGGATGATGATGATGAAGCTGATGCCCATCACACGCCACTTGTCTCGAACTACCATGAACAACACTACTGTTTGCATTATTAACAACTGCATCATGCTCATACAAGCAGCAGCAGCAACATAGTAAGAGATAGTCGAGTCGAGTATAGACCAACAGCAACGCTGACGCTGCCGAGTGTTGTGTAGATATAGTTTATAAATAAACCCAACAAGCATAGGGAAAATCGATTTCGGCGGAGTCCCGTTTTCTTGGCTCTTGCTTTTTGTTTATGTTTCGAGAGAATTTGAACCGCCGTTAAAGAGACGAACGCTTTGCTTCCTCTTTATCGGTGCTTAAATTCCATTCAGTTCAGTTACTTCTACAAAATAATACTCCCTGCCGCGGGCTGGTCCGCTGGATGCGAATGACCACCACTCGACGGCTCTCTATCAGAGTATTGGTGACGATGGGGGTTATCCTCCTCGCATAAAAGCTGATCTCATCCCCGTTCCAAAGCTGGTCCCGTCCGTCGTCGTGCAGTTCTACTCGACTTGATTCGACTTAAAATTGATTTGAATACGCTTGCTCTGGTGGTGGATGGAGAGGCAGAATCTTTATCGCCACCGCACACACGTAAATAAAAATTAGTCGTGATAAACAACGCTTGCATCGGAAGTGGAAAGTCTGCGGGGCAGGGGAGGAGTTCTTTGCGCTTTAGCTCGACGACGACGATGACTGGTTCTGGTTTTGCTCACAGAAGGGTTCTTGAGAGAAGCGAACTATACGAGATATCGCCATATGTCTGGATTTATATGACGATTCGGGCACACATCGGTGGGTGCCTATAGCACACGGTATGGGCACATAAAAAAAGTTTTAAGTGATTCGTGACTGAGACGTAAAAAAAATGGTAGCGAGAAATGCTGTTCAAATGGTGCTTTTTCTAGCATATTTTTTACAGTCCTCACAGGCCATCATTTCGAATCAGAACCCTTAAGGAATCTCTTCTAGAAAACTCTTGGAATTCGTATTCTTGAATCATTCTGCCAGCAAACCGGTAACCGGGAAAACCGAGGAATATGGTTACCAAATTTTAAGATTGAGCCAGTATTTGAAAGGTATGACTATCTAGCTTCAAACGAAACAGACTGGGTTCCGATTGGACCTGTGGTTTGCCAGTCGCTCCGGGAAAACCCGTGAGAGGTGGTTCTGCGGAAATTCGAATTCACCGCGGGAAAATGGTCAATTCCAAAAAAGTAGACCTGGAGATCTGCGATTTTTTTCTAATTGTTATGCAATCATAAGCATAGAGGAAATATGCCATCACCATATCGATTCTGCTACCGTGTGGCCAGAAAACGGACCTCTGGATAACCGGAACCACTGGCAAAATGGTCAATTCCTGAAAGTAGACCCGCGATTTTTTTTTCTGAATTGCATACAATCATGACTTTAGAGGAAACATGTCATCAACATACCGATTCTGCTACCGCGTGGTCAGAAAACGGACCTCTGGATATTCGGAATCACCGAGAAAATGGTCAACTTCTGAAAGTAGACAGAGATTCGTGAATTTTTATAAATTGCATACAATGATGAGTATGAGTATATAAAAAATGTGCCATCACCGTTTCATCATGACCATTTTCCTGGTTATTCCGGATATCTAAAGGATCATCGGTAGTAGAATCTTTATGGTGATTGTATATTTCCTCTATGCTCATGTTTGTATGCAATTTAGGAAAAAAAAAATCGCGGATCTCCAGGTCTACTTTCAGGAATTGACTATTTCTTCGGTGGTTCCGGATATTCACAGGACTCCACCTGGTTGCAGAATCGATATGCCGATGGCATGTTTTCCCTATGCTCATGACTGCTTCCATTTTTAAAAAAAAAATCGCGGATATCTAAGCCTACTTTCAGGAATTGACCATTTTCCCGGTGAATCCGAATTTCCGCAGAGGCACCTCTCACGGGTTTTCCCGTTCCGACTGGCTAACCACAATGTCCAATCGATTTCCTGTCTGTTCCGTTCGCAAAGAGGCTCAATCTTAAAATCGACATGCCACAGGAGCATTACGGTTGTCCACAATTCGAATTGTCAAACGAGCGATTCAAATTGTCAAACGAGCGATTCAGATCTGTCAAATTAGCTGAGACACAAACCAAGACAATATAAATTATAAGTGGATTCGTGTCCTTGATCATGGTATGACGCGATCGGATGAGTGTAGATGTCAGTAGTGTTTAACGTGTTTGAAATATGGCGTCTTGAGCATGAATTTGAAAATAGCTTGTATATGCTGTCACGTCGGTTCGTCGGTGACAAAATTGCCGAGAACCAGTCATGTCTACATGAATCGACACGCATTTTGCTAGGGACTTTTTCGGATTTTTACGTTCCGACTGGCTCAACTCCCGATCGTTGTAATCTTCGAACCAATTCTCCAAAGCGTTCTTTTGCAATTCGAGCTTCTTCTGAAAGTTCTGATATTCCTGGGTCAGCTTGGCCTGGGCTTGAGCCCGTGGGACTTCCTCCTTGGTCTGTCCGGGAACATGCTGCGACGAGGTAAGGAATTCAACGGGTTCATTTTCAATCTGTCGCTTTTGAAATCAATGCAATAAATCATAGCTTCTTACAACTGTGCCATAACAACGGTATACGTCTAATGCAAAAGATGCAAGCGGTGGTCACTCTACACACTTATTTTGCGCCAACATTTTTCTAAGTATGCCTCACGTGTGCCGGCAGTGCCGAGAGTGTCATCGGACTGATTTTTTTGTTTGTATAATGCTAAGAGGAAGAGGAGACAACTGGCTTCTTACTCTTTTATCTATCTCTATCTCTATCTTACGTACTTCAAATCGGCCAATCACGAGCTGGTTCGCGTTTGACAGGGTATTGTCTCCTCTTCCTCTTAGGTATAATGGTATGTTTGGCAACCCGGTTAATTTGAAATATGCAGTGGAATCCTATCCTAGATCCTAACTGTCGTGGAATACACTGAACCTAATAAGCAATGAACTCGGCCACCGAATCGAAGCTTCGAGCGAGAACGTTCTCCGGGAGAGGCACTTCCAATTTCCGACAGGACAATAACTTCTACTGGATTGGAGTATGAACCACAGAAGAGGGTGGTAAGTAGACGAAGCGAGCGTGCCCTTCAGATTCTGATGAACCCGAGTGGGTGTTTCAACCGGAATCAGACTTCCCTGGTAAAGGTAGGGTTTAATATGTCCACACGGTCAGACAGTCCAACGATCGGACAAATGGAGAGAAGTATGATGTCTCTGGTGGAAAGCAGTGCCGGCCAGAGAACAGTTGTAAAAGCAGCTGGGGCACTGTCGATGGTAGGAAAGCAAACACCGGTGAAGATTCTACCGCCGAACATGGTGCGAGTGTAACGATGAGGAACGAATCATGGAACTGAATGTCGGTTGAAAGGTCAACGAAGTGGTGAAGCGTTATAGAATCAAATATGGTAAACGGCCACTGATAAAACTACTACGGCCAGATGGTGGCTTTTGTATGGATTCCATAATTAACTCGTACCTCATAGAGTTCGAAAAGCTGCGTTCGTATCCGTTCTACGAGGATTATTGCAAGCATCGCGATAAGGAAATTCTTACCGAATTGCTGGGCACCATGGAAAAAAATCGGTCAGTTAACTTACACTTCGCCGGGATTTATTCTCCGCCAAGCCTGTAACTATTCTATTTCAAGCGCTGAGATTCCAGGGTCGTGTCCGAGAGCTAAGCCTATCCTTGAACCAACATCTTACAATTCTGCTTAACCTCCTTCGGTTGTGATTTTAGCTCCGTCACGAATCTCCTCGCCCCAAATCGATCCACCAACGTCTTCAACGTTCCCTTCACTTCCTCCTTCCCCACTAAACCAACTCACTAATCACATTCCGAATCGGAATTATGACCAGTAGCAGTCCCTTCATGGTCATCTTTTCAATCAGCTTCCGGAACGATGCCACCCCCTTCCCAACTTCGATCAAACTGTTCTGAAACACCAAAGCCTTCCGCACCAGATCCTTGAACAGTTCGATCGTCTTGAGTGGAGGTTCTCCGATCTCGAAGTCTTCCGGTAGCGACTCCAGCACCATCCGGAAGAATTCCAGTATCACCCCCAGATTACAGTGGTACTTGGCAAAATTGAATTGTTTCAACACCAATGATTAACATTTTAACACATGCACAGAGCAAGTGAAGATGTAGTACAGTGTTGCCAGTAACTTTGAATATCATGATAATTTCTAACCATGGGTGCCAATTTGCGATAAATTCTACGTAAAGTTGACCGATAATACAAAACCATCCATGGATCTTACAGACTGCCATAACCATTACCATTAAAGTTCTCAAACCATAAATACAATGGTTCTAATATAGTTCTCTTGAATGGTAATGGTTCTTAACAACCCATTATGTATAAGGTTCACTTCCAAAAAACCATAATACATAAGGTTAAAACTTTATATATCATCACAAAAACGTTCATGTAGAGTTCCATAACCATTTCAGTTAAAGTTTAGCAGGGATTATAAACAATATTCAACCATTTTCAGTAAGGTCAAGTTATGAAGTTTTAGTGCGACAATTTATTAGCTAGAGAAAGTCCTGAACAGGATAGATAGTCCTGAACAGGAGAGTTCCGTTAGAGTACGGCAGTGTGAAAAAAGGAACCGAAGTTGAAATTGAGCAAAGGACCATTAATGCGACAGTACTAATCAAACGCACACTCCTTTAGCTAGCTCATACATTGATGGATGAGGGGATTTGAGTTATGTCCTCAAATTCACAGGCAATAGTTCTAGTGACGTAGCAGGTATTAGCAGCAAATCTCAACGTCATTTCGTTCAGTAGCTTATACCCTACTGCTACATATAAAATTTACAGGGCCCTTGGATCCCCCTGTAAATTTTATATGTAGCAGTAGGGTATAAGATGCCTAATAAATTTTCAAAGAAAGTACCA